GCTACCAATGTAGTTGTGACCCAGACATTGGCAGGAATCTTCACAGTGTTATGACCCTGAATGATGGAATGCAACTGGAGCCCTAGGTTTGTGCCTATTTTCTTTTCAGAATATTGGAACGTTATTCTCCATCTTCCAATTGCCCAACAGATATGACCCTCCAAAGAATGTCCACAAAAGCATCTGTAATTTCTGCTTTCAATACCTTGTCGATTTCAGGATATATGCAATTTCACCCAAGGGCTTTATGGATATTTCATTCTTCCAATTTCTGTGTAATGAATTCTTCACTAACCTCACTGAGCCCCATTAACTCAAGCTCTAACTTGCCTAGAGTACTCATCTGTGAAAATTGATGTGAACAATCCATTCAATATGTTTCCACATCCTAATCATCTGTAATAGTTGTACCCAATTTATCATTTAACGGACACATCTGTTCTTTGACCTTCCCTCTGCCGCTAACATAGTAAAAGAACATTTTTTGAGTGCCTCTGGCTGGACTCTGAATTGTGTTTCCTTTCTCGTACACTTTCTAACACTTTCTTTGGCTCCCCTTGGATGCTTTTGTGTTCATCCTATATATTTGGTTTGTATTAAAATAAATCTGTCTGATTGTTAGGCTCAACCTGATCCCTGAACTGCACCACTGGGTTATGTATGTTTCCCTTTATACATTAGAACGTCATTTGGCTCTCCCATCAGCTTGTTGTGTACTTTAATTGTTCATGTTTCTTCCTATTTGATTTTTAGCATTGTATTCATTTCATTTTCAACAGGCCACTTTCTCAGCTCTCAAATCTGCCCTTCCAACCTTTTTGAGCAGTACAATTTAGTGGTTTATTAACCTCCAACACCAAATTCAACACAGCTTTTGCACAATTTCTGAAACCTTCCCTAGCTGCCTTGATGCAATTTTAGCCACCCTCCTGACTCTGACATTGACCCACTGCTGTTGAAGCTCCACTATATGATTGGCACCACTATGACTATTTAGACTAATTTCTAACGGGGAAATGTTCTAGACCCAATTTGGAAACATGTTAAATTGAAAGTGTTGTAAGAGAAAGCCAGCTGTGGAATAAATACCTTCTGGTTCTGATCAATTTGATATGTGCCTTTGAGTTCACAATCAGACTCCTTTCACTGAGAACAATGCAGGTCTTCTTTGCATTGCTATTGTCACTCTTTAGTTAATATTCTGCTCTCTTTATGAATGTCTCTTTTCTTTTCTATCTCAGTACTGTATGCATTGTAGGAAGATCGGAAGATTAAAGGATTCATAAATCCCAAATCTGCATCGAGTAATCTGTTCTCAGCCAAAAGAGCATTTGGAGTGTGGAAGCAAGTCTCAATGTCCCTGGGCCAGGAAATGAAGTTGGGGGGGAGATGGGGGTGCAGAATGCAAGCATAACATTGGATTTAAATACATGGACAGTCCATAGATCCTAAAACAAGAATTCATTATTCCACTAGCATCAAGTCATTACAAACATGAAGGAAAACTTAGGTTAAAAAGGAAAACACTGTACTTACATGGCATCAAGCCTGTGGTTTACATTTAGTTGAGAAAATACTCTATCTGTCTCTTCCATCCCGTGAGGCTTCCTTCACCCAAAGATACCCTTTCCTCCACTGGGAGTCAGCTGCCCCAAATGTCATGCCAGCGCCTTCAAATACAGGCACAATATGCAGATGTTGGAAATCTTAAACAAGCACAGTGAATGCTGGATAAACTCAGCAGGTCTGGCGGCATCTGCAGAGAACAAAGCAGAGTTAATGTTTCAAGTTTGGTATGGTTCTTCTTCAGAACTGTAACTCTTCTGAAGAAGAGTCATACCAGACTTGAAACATTTACTCTGTTTCTCTTCTTGTTGGGGCAGCCAAACCTGCTGAGTTTCTGCAGCATTCTCTGTGTTTGTGCCAGGGGCCTCTCTCAATATCGCCCCCTGCTGCTGGAGATCCCAGCAAAAGTGCTTGAGCTGCCCTTCCTCCCTCCCTCACCAATGCTACCTGACACCAAAGGTTCCATTACACAGGATTCCTCCAAATTATTTCCCAGTGTCCCTCTATGTGTTTGTGGACAAATGAAAACAGTTGCAGTCTTTCACATTACATCAACGTAGCTGCCATGCAATGTGATAAGTAGGATCATTGTTTACTCTTGTGGCACAGTGGTAATGTCCCTACCTCTGAGGTAGGAGGCCTAGGTTCAAGTCCCACCTATTATTTTGTTGATGTAGCTGCCAACACCCAATTCTGAGGCAAATGCAGAAAGAATTGTCACTTGAGCAAGATAGCAGATAGCTGCTGGGCTTTTGTGGAAACGCATCCCAGCAGGACTCAGAGGCACTGATAGCAGAGGGCAGGGTCAAACAGGAAGAAACAAAAGAAACAATTCAATCCAATGCTATTCATTTTGTCACAGGGTGATTCTGGAGGACCACTGACTTGTGTGAAAGATGGACTTTACCAGGTCTATGGAGTAGTGAGCTGGGGCGATCGCTGTGGAATGAAAAATAAACCTGGTGTTTATGCCCATGTCATGACTTTCCTTAGCTGGATTCAAGGAATAATAAGCTAATGACTAATTTTACAACAAGGAAATTAAATTCAATATGCTTAACACTCATTTACACAATTCAGAGGAAGGACTTACATTATTCTCAAATAAAATGTCTACAGGTTGCATTACTTAATTTGCCTTTTAATTGTTTAAAAATTATTATTGCTTAAGTACATTAAATGCATGGTGTATCTCACAAAGAATATCTTGTAAACAAAACATTGTTAAACCACAGGGAGGTATGTTATAAAAGCATCTCAGTAGGTAATTGGTGATAATAATTCTAAAGTGAAAATAATAAAACTTCCCACTTACATAAGACAGAGGAAAGGATAAAAGAAAAATTTACACCTTACTCCATGGTGATTTTGAAAGGGCAAAGAAGTTGCTTATTATGTTTTTAATAAACTGAAGCAGATTAATTGTTTTTCCATTTATTTTCTGCATCCTACATCATACAGAACATAATTTCATAATTGTGTTTCCCAATACAACACTTGTAAACAATTCATTACAGGAGAATCTATAGAAAAATGTTCTAAATTACTATCCATAATGTTATTTTATATGTGACATGCTAGTAACAAATCCTTCTTTCAGCTATTTTAACATGGGTGTTAATCCGTTAAGATGAACAATGCATTCCACCAAAGTAGCAGGGAGTGGATTTTGTAATAAAAGTTTACTAAGTGTTCATAAAATGATCACTAACAAATAATTTCATGCTTATTTTTGAGAATGATCAGGTTCTTATAATTCACTTTATTGACAAGCTACAGCTTTACTTTCATAATTTTATATCATATAAATTGATATAATGGTTGAGAGGCTGCTGTTAAAATTAGCAGCAACCTTTGGAATCCACAATTGCATAGGTAAGCATGGGAATATAGAAATTCTGTTAGTAATGAACTATTCACCCATCAAGTGCACTGTTGGCAATCTACGCATATGCAGTAAACACAAAATTAGTGACTTAATGTGACTTTGTACACACTTTGACCACAGTAAATATCCTTGAAAAATTCAAACCTTGTTGAATGGGGTGTAACTGAGTGATTAATGATGCACTAAGTCATAACTATTGTTGATCAACCTCTCCAGGCCTGAAAAATTGATTTTACAGGCATATATTGTCTTTGCCTCCAAATGACATGGTAGTGTTTTTTTTAGAAGTTTCTTAATGATGTCCAGCTTCTAGCTTAATCCGATGTGTGTGGCTCAATCATTATTTCATCTTCTATAAAATTATTACAAAAAGAAAATTGTAATCCATGCTTTTTAGTATAATATTCATTATCGGTGAAAATTGTTCAAGTGGTTGGCTGTCAGCCTACTTGATGTCTTCACTGTGGATTCCCAGTTGATGATGATAAATTCAGAATTACACAGCAATGAGGAAGCTGAGGCTATAGATCTGGTTAAATTCAGTGGACATTTTTAATACTTTGTGCCATCTGTTCACTATTGACTAAAATCCCATCCATGACAGTCTTAATGAATTATATAAGACGTAACTTCTTATTTAAATAAAAGGAATTAATGTGATTAAATCAGTGTAAGTGAAATACACGTTTTGGTCTGAAACATCTCCAAAATGTTTCTGATGTCATTTTCAGCTGTGATTACAGTATTATCCCTTTATTCATTATCAGTTTTAGATGTATTCGGATAACTGCAACAGTCTCTAATTATTGACAACAAGGCGTAGACCTGGATAAATACAGCAGGCCAAGCAGCATCATAGGAGCAGGAAGGCTGACGTTTCGGGCCTAGACCCTTCTTCAGAAATGGGGGAGGGGAAGGGGGTTCTGAAATAAATAGGGAGAGAGGGGGAGGCGGGTAGAAGATGGATAGAGGAGAAGATAGGTGGAGAGGAAACAGATAGGTCAAAGAGGCGGTGATGGAGCCAGTAAAGGTGAGTGTAGGTGGGGAGGTAGGGAGGAGATAGGTCAGTCCAGGGAGGACGGACAGGTCAAAGGGGCAGGATGAGGTTAGTAGGTAGGAGATGGGGTGGAGCTTGAGGTGGGAGGAGGGGATAGGTGGGAGGAAGGACAGGTTAGGGAGGCGGGTACGAGCTGGGCTGGTTTTGGGATGCGGTAGGGGGAGGGGAGATTTTGAAGCTTGTGAAATCCACATTGATACCATTGGACTGCAGGGTTCCCAAGTGGAATATGAGTTGCTGTTCCTGCAAACTTCGGGTGGCATCGTTGTGGCACTGCAGGAGGCCCAGGATGGACATGTTGTCTAAGGAATGGGAGGGGGAGTTGAAAGCCCCACTCCCATCTCCTACCTACCAACCTCATCCCGCCCCCTTGACCTATCCCTCCTCCCTGGACTGACCTATCTCCTCCCTACCTCCCCACCTACACTCACCTTTACTGGCTCCATCCCCACCTCTCTGACCTGTCTGTCTCCTCTCCACTTATCTTCTCCTCTATCCATCTTCTATCTGCCTCCCCCTCTCTCCCTATTTATTTCAGAACCCCGTTCCCCTTCCCCATTTCTGAAGAAGGGTCTAGGCCCGAAACGTCAGCCTTCCTGCTCCTATGATGCTGCTTGGCCTGCTGTGTTCATCCAGCTCTATGCCTTGTTGTCTCAGATCCTCCAGCATCTGCAGTTCCTACAGTCTCTAATTATTGTTGTAAGAAGTAATAGTTCTGAAATGATTAATGATGAAGATTGACATTAAGTTCCACCCAATCTGATGATATCATAGGGGTTAAGGGGGTGAAAGCAGAACATTTTAGGATCTTGAGGAGTGTAGACCTGTTATTGTAGGTCTCCCATTGCTCTTAGTGCAATATCTATCTTACTAATATAACTTGTACCTGATTGTTATTATGCAATGAACTACACATTGTTTAAGATAAGAGCTCTTTCTCATTAAGCTACCTGTTAGTTCTCCCTTACCACTTTAGATTGAGTAGGCCTTAGTACCAATGAGGACAGGAGATGCTGGCTGCAATCTACCTAAGCACATGTGGCACTGGTTGACATCACATACTTACTTCTGGCTCGGTGTCAGCAGTAGTTATTTAAGATTCTATCCAGCTGCACAATTATAATATTCATCTTTTCTAGTTATCAAACCACCCCCCAAAGTTTTGATCATTTATTTTTGATAACCACATCACTTTTAAATGCTTTCATGTAACGTGTCTCTTGTCTTGCTTCCTGAGAATCAGAAATGACAAGTCAACCCTGCACAATAGGGATTATTAATGTTTAACTTGGTGTCAAAGGATGATATGAGTAAAGGTTGAAACACTGACTGTATGTATTGCTTTGTTAGATGCTTCAAGACTCCAACTACTGAGACTAAATTGTCTTTCAACATTTTCTCAGCAGTGAATTCAGAGGGCATTGAAATTGTCATTTACCATAACTGTACTCGAAAGCAACCTGAATTAATGGTTGTCATTGTTATTAAACTGATATAAAACAACAAAGTTTTAAGCTTGTCAAGATTGCAGCAATTTCCCACCCACTCTCTTGAGCTCATTACCTTACTGGAATAGTTATAAATGAATATAAAAAGTGATTAATTTCATCAATTATTACCTGGCTATCACAGAATGCTCTGACATAACTGTTCATTCCTTGATTAAACCTGCCCGAAGCAACTGACCTTTTAAGATAGGTACTTTGAGAAAAGGTAACTGAGTTCTGGTTGGGTCCCAGACACAGGGAACAACAGGAAACACAAATATAGCATTACACATCTCAGAGATAGCAGGAACTGCAGATGCTGGATAATCTGAGATAACAAGGTGTAGAGCTGGATGAACACAGCAGGCTAAGCAGCATGATAGGGGCAGGAAGGTTGACGTTTCGGGCCTAGACCCTTCATCAGAAATGGGGGAGGAGAAGGGGGTTCTGAAATAAATAGGGAGAGAGGGGGAGGTGGACAGAAGATGGATAGAGGAGAAGATAGGTGGAGAGGAAACAGACAGGTCAAAGAGGCGGGGATGGAGCCAGTAAAGGTGAGTGTGGGTGGGGAGGTAGGGAGGAGATAGGTCAGTCCAGGGAGGAGCGACAGGTCAAGGGGGCGGGATGAGGTTAGTAGGGAGGAGATGGGGTGCGGCTTGAGGTGGGAAGAGGGGATAGGTGGGAGGAAGAACAGGTTAGGGAGGCGGGGACGAGCTGGGCTGGT